TCGCCATTTTGGAAACTTACTAGCCCAAAGTACCTGCCTGTGTCCACACGCAGCTGAGAAGCGGGATTCCGAGATAAACCCCTTAATTTGAATTAACTGTTAAACCTCATTCCATGAGGAGTAACAGTTAATTTGAACTAAGGGGTTTATCTCGGAATCCTGCTTTGCTGCCACGTGTGGATGCAGGCAGTTACTTTGGGCTAGTCAGTTTCCAAAATGGCGACCAGCCGGGAATATGCTAATCAAGCGCAGGCTAATTGCTTCATTAGCAATTTCGGTTGCTCTCATTAGCCTCCCTATTTTGAACTAGGGGGCTAGTGGAGACGTACCCTTATATAGTGGGAATTAAACCATGGTCACTGAAGACAAAAGGAAATATCACCTTGTAGTTAGACAAGATAGCTTCAGCTCACATTTTCTAGCTGAGTTTATTGGGTTCTGAAGTCCTTGGCGTGTGATGCTAGGGAGTTATTTTCAAATTAACTGCAACATGCAGACATATTGCTTGTACATGATCATGATGTATGCTAATTGGAATACTGAAGGAGAAAAAAATTCTTTCAGACAAATTAATGAGCACATGAGAATGTGTGAAATGTGTGCATGAGCATCCCAATTGCTTGCCCAAGAGAATGCATTTCTACAGCTGTGGGGTTTGCAAGTGCATTATTATTTAATTAGGGCCAAATTGTGAACCTCATACATTGGCAAAGAGGTACTTACATAAACAACTTGACTGAAATACATGGGACTTGCTCATATGAATAATTGCTCAACAATGTGAATAAAGGCCTTGAAATCTGGCTGTATTTTATTATTTATTAATGCTTACTTTAATGTATTAGTTTTATTTCAAATAGTGAAACCCTAAGTAAAATTAATTCCTATTCAGTAAAATGGAGAAATACAGGACCATATGTTGTGCCAATAAGGCTTTGTCTGTTATAGTACTAATAAGGTTTCCAGGGCCTCAAGATATTTTATAATATTTTTAGCAGCAATTTCTGCACTGGTGACTAACTTCTCCAGGACAGATAATTACATTCTTTGGGAGGCTGTGAAGTGAACAGCGAAAGGAAAAAGAACAATATTCAAGAAGCTATTGAATTTGTGCTTTTTTAACGCCAGAATAATTAATAGTCAGATGAGAAATGAAACCACTGAAGCACTATCTAATGACTGCAAAAACTGTAGCATTCTTTTTATGATGCTGGAAATGTAAACACTTCATGTTTTATTTTTTTTTGATACACTATGAAATTTTCTATTAAAATATAGACATGTTCTTCCACTAGCTAATGACAATTGCTAAACTGTGAATTAATCTCAGTTTCAGAGGTGGAGGAGAGATGTAAAATCTCACTGATAATAAATAGATTGCTGGTGCAAAACCTGTTGTAATCCGTGGAAGTTTTTCCGTTGACTTTAAAAGTCTTTTCACTCAGGACTTTAACTGGAAGAATGTTGTTAGATTTAGAGATGTCTCTCAGAAAGAGGCAGCAAGGGAGGGAGCAGAATCCAGTGCTGGGAGGAGACTGGCTTAAAAACTGATTTTTCTCCCCAGCACCATCTCTGTGGGACTGCTTGGGTCCCTCACTGGCTTTGCTCCTCATAGAGCTTCCGCCTTTAAAATGTAGCAAGAGCCAGTGTTGCTACATTTCAGAGGAGAAGGCGCCCTTATCAACTAATCAAATAGTTGATGCAATCTAAATTTTCCTAATTGATTAATCTAAATTGAACATAATTTGTTAGATTATGTTGTGCAAAATGTACACTATCATCATGATAGCCAATAATAAAAAAGTAACATTGCCTTGATTTCTTTTAGAATCTCAATTGCATTAATATTTGTGATCATGAAAACATGTTTAATAATAACTTCTTAAACAGGAGGATCAATTAAAGAGACTTATGCCCATTTTACAGATGACTAAACTGGAACAAAGTGAATTGAAATTTTAGTATCAAACAATGTTAGCAGGAAGGTGGGCAATACAATTCTTAGTCCTCTCTTGAACCTAAAATCCTTTTGCACTGAAGAAAGTTTTACTTTGCACATTTTTGGGTGGGGTGGTATAGCATTTATTTTAATTAACTGCATGATATCGTATTTTTTTTCCACAAAATAGGGATGTAAGACAGTGGTTGATTAGTTGACTACCCCAGTGTTTCTCAACCAGTGGTATGAGTACCCTTAAGGGTATTCGAGAGATATCTGGGTGGTACATCAACACAATTGAAATTTGGAGAAAACTGAATATTAAGTTTTACAGCAATTTGTTATTTTTGTACTTTGTGCACCCAAAAATTTCTTCTCCTGCCTGGCTATGATGAAGTTGTTTAAACAAATGTGTTGCAATGATAGAAAAAAAATGGTGTGTCTGAAAACTGTAGGTACGTGGGGGTACTTCTATTTTTTTTAAAAGGGATGCTTTATAAAAAAATGTTGAGATACACTGGACTACCCAATAAGCTTATCGCATACTGCCACCACCCTTGCTGCCTCTGTCACAGGCAGCAAGGCAGGGGCAGAAGGAGCTGGTGCTGTGGGGGAACCAGCC